TGGGCGGTCTCTTGCAGCTCCTTCTGCTGCGCTTGGAGCAGCTCGGCCGCACCGCGCAGCGCTCGGATTCCACGCATTTTCTCGGGACTCCGTCCGGCACCGTCCGGGCGCCCCGCTGTCCATGAATCCAGCTGGAAGTCCTGGAAGTCCTGGATCCGATGTTTCTGCCCTGTTGAAAGCCTTCAGGTGAACGAATTTAATGGTTCATGCTGGCGAGTCAGCAACCCCATGTCACATGGAGAACATGGGGAACCTCCACCGGGGGCAACATGATCTATACCTTCTGTTGGAATTACAGTGGTCACCAAATAGAACTCCAAATTAACATGGGCAGCAGTGGTTTAAAAGTAGCTTGGCCTTCTACCTTCTGTGGGTAAAAGTAGATCCCCACTTAAGATGTATTAGAAACCGTACCACTACAGTATTTATTGGGGGACCACTATAGGTGCCCCCTGCATCAGAAAGTGGCAGGAGTTCGCCTTTTGTTTTGCCTGAGATGGTCAGCTGCCAATTTGGGAGGAATGCCTTCCATGCTGACGGGTGCGACTCGTAAGGAATGAGGGTGGCTGGAGCCTCAGGAATCTCTATTTGGAGGTCCGTTCCTCATTCCCTACGAGTCGCACAATGAGCCGCACATCTAAGCACCCGTCAGCATGTCGTCCTTCTTTGAGGTATCAATCTGACCGAATCTGGCAACAGCAGGTGCGACCCCGGCCGGGGCCGACCGTCCAAACCGAGCAGAGATGACGACCGCGTTGGGTCGTCGGATTCGACGGTGGCCCAGGTTGTTTTTGGGAGGGCGCGTGAGGGATGGAGGGGGAAACGAAGAGCGTGGCGCTGGCATTTTCCGGCCAGTGATATTTTTAAATATTTTTAAAGGAGCACAATGCTTAAGAGGAGGGCGCGTTTCATGCCGCCAATAATGCTACCCCCGTCGCAGGTCAGTTCGGATGGCATCCGGCATCCTATGCCTTTTCCGCCCTAACCTCATTTGTATTCATTTGTTCCCTTTGGAGCGCCTGGCCAGGCTCGAAGCTACGGCTGGCCCAAGGCCCCCCCGTTGCACATGCATTCGTGGCGCGGGGGCGCGTGAAGAGAGCTACTGTGTGAGTAAGATGATGGGATCTGGAGTTCAAGACCGTTTGTTTTGGGGAGGAGGGCCAGGAAAATGGGGGGCCGATCGGAGGAGAAGGATTCTGATTTGAGAAGGGGGGCACAAACGAAGAACTGTTGCTATGAATTACCGGAGGCCCATGATAGAATGGTTCTAAAATGTGCGCATCGAATTCTTTAAAGTCTTCTAGGGGTCAGAAAGGGGTGGTGTTTAGTCCCATCCAGTGAGTGGATACTGGGCACCCCTAACCTCCATGGATCACACCCCTTTGAAACTCTTGGTTTAAACCGTCCTTTCCTTCAACATGAGGACGTTGCGACCTGAGAACGCCGGCCGAACTCGGTCTTGCCCGTGTTGGAAGGTGCTTGTTTCGATGATGGCTGGTTCGACTGGGAATTCCAGAGGAGCAACGAATGGACCGCCATGGCTCATGTAAATTATTACAACTTTAGCGTGGCACGTCGGCATGTTATACATGTGTCAGTATAATATGTGTATGACACATATTCCTTGGCCTCCACCCCGCTCCAGTAGGGCACCGCCTTGCGCGGGATCAGGTGCCGCTCCAACGAGGCACAGAGCAGGAGGAGGCCCTCGAGAAGTCAGGCGCCGGACGCCGGAGTCCGGGAGGTGAGGACTGCGACTCGCAGCCGACCCCCTCGGTGCGAAGCTCCTGGAGTCCGGTCATTGGAAAGAGGTGCCCATGCCAGGGCCCCCCTGGTCTGGGGCTTTCTATGGAATAGCTCCTTATAGAGGTGAATGGAAGGGGGTCTCCATTCACCACCTTCCCGACCATGGGTCCTGGTTGCGCTTCATGACCACCATGACCACCATGACCACCACGCTCCATGACCCGTGCAGGCGGCTCCGGCCTCTTTGATCGGATCTTCCCGAAGAGCAAGAAGCGCAACAGCGCAGGCCGCGGGGACGGTGCCGGGACTCGGAGGACGGGCTGAGGCTGGGTGATTTTGTGATGTAGACTCTTGATGAAGAACACCTGCCCCATATGAAGAGGATGTCCAATTCCAATGGGGTTAATTATTCATCTAAGATGGATCAATGAGTCTAAGAGTCTACATTAGTGGGCGATGTGTTCGTCCTTCGAGCGGGACCGTCGAGGGACACGTCGTGGGTGAGGCGTGGCACTTTTGGTAGAGGGGCCGTCGAGGGAGCTTCCATCTGGGGGGTTTTGGAAGAAGCTCCTCTAGGAATTCAAACTTCTCCATGAAGCACAATCTAGGGTGCAGATGGGTTCCTTGCCGTGTGGAACGGAGGCCCCAATTGACTCAAGAAGATGATCATAGAACCATAGGGGCCCACAATCGAAATTCTTTTTGTTCAAGAAAAGGATCCATTGCCAGGAGGTACCAAGGGGTGCCGAACTTGGAGGATAGAGGTGCTCCTGTCACATCCACTCACTGGATGGGACCAAGAACCGCCCCTTTGTGACTCCTGGTGGAAGCTTTTAAACACCCTGTCTTAAGAAATCGCTTTTCCTCGCGGGCTTGTAAGGCTACAAAAGAGGGAGCATGCATGCTGCAGTGGTGGTGGAGGACGGCGTCCAGCGAGAGTTTTCGTCCAGCGCGGGCCGCGGCCAGCGCGGCCAGCGCCCTTAGCGGCCAGCGCTGCGTGGTTGCTGACTTCCCTCATCTCGGGGGGGGGATGGGAACCGTGGGGCTCACAACTGAACTTTTGAACCTCAGGATTCCTGGCCCTCCATTGATTCAATCGCCGTAAAACACACGCCCCCCTTGCACACGCCGTCTGACATCAGGTCAACCTGAAATTCTTCTTGGAAGCCACCTTGTCACCTGTCCCCACCTTGTCACCACTGATCGGCCAGGAGACCGACAAGACACAGGCAGGGTCCAGAGACCGACCCCCCATGAACGTATGTCGGGGGTGACCTCACGGCAGGCGGCCCTAGGGCCCTAGGGCTCCAGTCATACCGAACCTGAGGAGGTACGCCAGGAGCCCTAGGGCGTGGAAATGCTCCCATTCACCTAGCCTTGACGTGAGTGGTGTTTTCGTTTCGGGGGCCATGTTCCGAAAACGCAGGTCCAACCTGTTTCCAGTGGGGACACTCCGATGGTTCCACCTCGACGACGGTGAAGATGCGGCGTGCCGTGTGACAGTCCGAGACGTTGGACCGTCCCAGGTGGCATCCAGGTGGTTTCAGAGGTTGGCGGTTTTGGACTTCGACCCCTCCAATCAGTCTGGAAAATCTATGGGTTACATATCAAACCACCCAACTTGGACATTTGTGCCATCGAACCTCTGAAACCACTGTAGGTTCATTTTTCTGCTTTTCTATTTTCTTTGATCCTTTTGATCAACAGCACAAAACGCATGGAACTTCTGAAGACCTTACCTGGCTGGTGCCCTCTCCAGGGGACGTAGAACAAACATCACTCGGGCGGAGAAAGAAGGAGGGCCAACGCGGGAACTGAAGCTGGAGCAATCAAGTGGTGCCCATGTTAAAGTCTGAAGTGAAATGCTTCAATTTAGGGAGTGCCCCACTACCAGTAGCAGTCAGGAAAAAATGTGACCACTATCTTGGGGACATCTCCATCCGGCCCTGCTAATGGGACATGCCGATATGCTCAATTCCCTTGGCTCACGGTTCATGGCTTCGCTCGTGCTCAGGAGGGGCAAGAAAAGCACAGAAAGCATGGTGTTTTTCAATGGCTTTACTGGGTCGTACGCCAACCAGACTACACTTCATTCATGTGATTCATGTGTTACGGGGACCCCGCTTTTCATCGTCCATCCTCCACTTGCCGGAACCACCATGGAAGTGGACAAGTCGCCCTATGTTCCTCTACACAGCCGGTGAGGAAAAAAACAAACATACAATGAGCCCCAAAAACGGGTGCCAAACCACCGACTCGATGCCTCCGGCAGCGCGGAGTGGAGAGAGAAGGCGGGCGACGTCGGCGGCGCTGGCGATTGCCCCATGTTGCCCCGTCTGTCTCCGAGGCCTTGCCGGTGTGCACGCTGCACCAGCTGCCGGAGGTTCCCCAGGACGGATCCCTGGATTGTTGGAAGATCTCAGCAGGTGAGAAACGCTCAGGAGCCACAAAGGGATGAGGTTTGGAAGTCAGTCTCCTGTTGTGTTACAGGAGCCTCGACAGCGGGCAAGCCCGACTTCCTGACATGGAACTACACTCCCAAAAACTCACTTGATGTCCTCACAATTCACAATGGCACCCTGAGTCCAACTGTTTTCCTCTAAAGACCCGTAGTTTTCAGGATTCAAGTTCGTTTTCGGCCAAGTACGCTCTGACTCACTAACATGGAAGTGGAAAATGCTCCCACATGGACCTGGTTTTGCCGATCAGGTGTTTTTTTTTTGGGGGGGGTTTCCCCTAGAGGTACATCCCCCCACCTGGGGAAGTTTTTTCTTTTTTACACGTTCTTTAGGCAAGTGCAAGTTGAAATGCACACTCATGGGCAACCCCCTGTTTGTAGAGGATTTGAAGGGTTCTTTTTCCACGAGGAAAAAGGGCTTCTTACGTGGTTCCATGATTGTTGCAGGGAGGGCACTCACCAAAAATATGACTACCAACATGTGAACACTCATTGAGAACATCTAGGACAACCAAAATTGGTGGAGAGGCATGTTTGGATACAAAGATGATACAAGACCGTCAGTGAGCCCAGAACAGTTGCTGGAACATCCTGCAATTTACCATTCCGTAAGCTACATTTTGGTTTGTGTACTGATCCCTTCGTGTCAACCCAGCCTTGCATGTCATTTGGCACACTTCCTACGCCGTCGCATGATATCAAGGAAGATGTGCCAGACGCGTGCACAGCAGAACCTTCCAAGCGTTTTCAAGCACATCTATAATCCAAAGAATGAGACACAGCGGTACACGATGAACAAGAACAAGATGTGACTATTTTGAAGATCTTTCTTGTTTTCGAGCATGGCGGCTTTTGATGCGGCCTTGACGCTGGTTCCAGTTCCTGCACCTTTGGAGCCACTCCGGAAGTATATCGGTCTGAGCCCATCCCAATTTCAGGCGCTGCAGCGGGGACATGGAGTGGCACCTGATCCCTACAGTGGTCGTTTTGGGCTCCGCGACACGCCGGAGGAGGCCTTGAACAGAGGATACACGTTCAACACGTGGGAGCCGCCCAGCAAGAAGCGTAAGCAGGACTCCGTGGAGAATGACAAGGAGAACCTCGAGCAGATGGCCAACCCCGAGGATGGTGATCCGAAGAAGTACGTCATTGTTGAACTCAACGTCACGGATCTAGGATTCAGGTGGTTGTCCATGGAAAGCCGTCTTCATTTCAACCGTGAAGGTCAATTGCGCTTGTATGGAGCTCTCTTCAACGAGGTGAGGGATGCCGACGGACGCCTTCTGTACCAGGTTGGCGAGCATGTCCAGCAGCCCATCTCCTAGGGCTCTAGGAAGGCTGTTGAATGGATCAATGGATCTATTGTTGCTTTGAAGTTCGACAGAGGCAGGACGCCAGGTCTCATTCTTGACCTCCATTGATCTTTGCTGAGGAGAGTGGCGCTTCGCTATGACTTGGGGAAGGCAAAAAGTCGTGGATCGCAGATCTGTGTGCATTGCTTGGTTCGTGGAATATCCATTGAGGTCTGACATTAGAGAGAAAACCCTTAAACGATGGTGCAAAAGGTAGCTTTTGTAGGCAGGTCGGCTTGGCGGGGTGTGGTGGAGGGGAATGGCTGCAGCCGCATGACTTGAACCCTCAACATCTTTTGGGTTGTCATGGACACCTTCTCCAGCAGGGGTTCCGGAGAGCTACCCGGAGCTACCCAGAAACATACAGGAGCTGAGTAGAGACGGAAGGGCTCGTCCAGTCGCTTTCAGCACCCGTCTCCGCTCTGGCAGACAGTAGGCCAGACCTCACGTCGCGGATGCGCCACCGGTGTTTCCACAGGAGAAGAACGTGGGTGTCATGCAGACGGTGTGTGTGCCTTGGGCAGAGAGGACGGGTCTGCCGAGTCTCTGGCCGACGTGGGGCGAGTCGTGGGCCGATGTCTTGGACTTTCGGAGTTCACTGAAATGGGTGGAGAGGATCATAGATATTCAAGAGGCATAATATATATATATATATATTAAGATACTTACGTATTTAGATAATTTATAATAGATATTCCTATCATTTCCTGATTCTGCACCATTCCGTTAGTTGCCGTGGGCTCCCCCTCCGCACCTCCTCGTCGTCCTCCCGAGGTCTTGAGCACGCCCATCACCTCGCCGGCCTGACCGAAGCCGAACGCTCCACCGTCGTCGAGCCGGGTCGGACGACCGGTGATGCCCGGACCGATGTTCGGAAGAGAATCGAGAGAATCACTCAGGCTAAGGCCCTTGAGGCCCTTTAGGCGAAGTGCTGTCCGAAGTCAGAATGCAAAAGCTGAGGGAAAAAAACCATCCACAAGACCTGTATTTTTTAGGTCATGAGCCTTTGGATTGAACAACAACAGAAATAGAGCCTAGCCGAGTCTATGCGGACTAGTGCCTGTTTTAGCATGTTTCACAACCTTGCACAAGTCCAATCTCATTTGACCAGTTGGGGCATGTTTGGAGCAAACAGGACACCAATGACGGCCTTATGATGCAAATCACTTCAGATGCTACGACACCGGCGGCATCACTTCAGTTGCCTAGGCGCCTAAGTCATTTGCGCCCATATATGCCTGCATTGACCCCCAAAACCTTCCCAACTGATCAGCATATAGAACTGCCGTCGAGATATGGTGAGCCTCACACACGTTCATGCAAAGAGAACTTGAGCCTCACACCACCGCCGTGTACGAAAGCGTCCCTTCTTTTTTGGCCGGTTCTAAGAACCCGACCACGCACGAACCATGTGACGCCGCCCGTGGGTCAAGACGCTCGGCGACACCGAAACCGGTGAGCCGCCCGTTGGACCGGCGATGGGATCTTCCTCTTCCTGGACCCAATAGATCCTAATAGCTTCTTGTTACTAATATAGCAATGGCCTCCAACCTACTTGCAAACTATGTTTAGATCGGGGGACGTCGTCTTTCGTCACCAGTCGGATCGAATCCGGCCGTGGCGAGGCACTCGTGCGGACGTCGATCGGTGACGGAGACGACGAGTCGACGAGTCCAGTGGGGCTGAAGACCCGTCCGGTGGAGCCTTTGACGACCGTTCAAGAGGCCAACAACAGCGTTCAAGACGGCTGTGCCGTCTTGGAAAGGAGGTCAAAAGCTGGAAGTGTGGTTGGATGTGGTTCGTAAAGATGCTCCCTTGTTGGGGGCAACATGGGAAATAGAATACGGGTTCCTGCCTCGATGTGGTGGACCAAACTGAGGCCACTCAAGCCAGCGACTGCATTCACGTCCAAACCACGATCGCCGAGATGTTACAAGATGTGGTCTCAGTGACTGGCGGTGATGCCAACTAGCTTTCTAGGAGGCAGCTTAGGGTCAAAGGTTCCGCATGTTTCACCTGAGTTCATCCCACGCTTGGTGGCTCACCTGGTTGAGAGGTGCTTGTGACATGACCCTGACCCCGGAGCAGTTATTGTCTACATTTGTCTACCAAAGACCTATATGAGAGAATTCACCCCTGAAAGCTAACGTGCTTTCGGGGGGTCTATGTGGTCTACCCTCGCAGGAGGGTCGTTAGTTGCTGTCATCCTGTTGAGTACCTTAGTCCCGACGGAAGTCCAGTTCGACGATCTCTTTGACCGACTGAAGTAAAGGAACGTCTCTAGTCCTGAACTCGGGGTGACCGGGAACGTCAGGACCATTCTTTTGATAGGATCCCTGGACTCCCAGGGAGTGCCGAGTGTCGCTTTGCACCATAGGGCAAGCCACCGAGTGCCGAGCCTGGCCCGGCCGGCGGACTCGGCCCGGCCGAACGAAGCGGAATCGACCGGCCTCATGCCTGGGAATGGGTGGATGCCCAGTGGTCAAAGCTCTGGCTGCTGGGAAATGGTGTTTTTTGTGCCTTTGACCTTTAAGATCTTTGAAGGAGGTATAAAAGTTCAAGTTCGCCACTTTTGGAGTTTGGCCTTGGGACGTTTGTTTGAATCTTCATGGCAGCAACTTCCATCTGCCCGACCAACTCACACCAAGGGTTTGAACAGGAACAAGCACCAATCCACTTTGTGCCCGGAACAAGCTCACCGGACCTGGGCCGAGCAGACGGATGCAACATGATGCAACCATTTAAAAGAAGCTCCGCGCTGCTCATGGGCGGCTGTGGCGTCGCAGGGCTGGAACTCAGACGATTCATGTAAGCAAATAGCACTACCAGGACACCCGGACCAGGGGCTTCCATTGATGGCCCCTTGGGGGTGATTCGGGGTGTTCATCAACCACCCCTTGTGGGTCCTGGTATAGGATCATTGGGGTTTTGGTTAATTATATAGATGTCTTCCCATGTTAAGGTCGGACTTCTTGGTTGCTGCTGGGTACGGAGCTTGATCATTCGTGCAAAGCCACACGACAACGACACCTGCGCACGACACCGCACAACGGCCTGACTGGACGTGATGAACCCGTTTTCGGGGTGGTTCATGGACACCCCGAATCCCGGGGCCAATATTCATTAGACACCCCAAATCAACCCGGCACCCCTGGTAGGCTTAGAATGACTTCGATAGATGTGAGTTGGCCAGACCTAAGCCCTGCTTGGTGGCTCTCTTTTCCAACACTGTGATCCAATGCGCCTCCCATTCGAAAGTTTTGAAAGCATCTAAGACTCTTGATTAAACTAGACGACGAGTGGCCCGAAAGCATTTTTCATCACGTATGAAGTCAGAGTGTGAGTTATGTGTTAAGTGTTCAGCGTGAAGTGTTAAGTCGAGTGAGTTGAGGCAGTGTGAGGGTCTCTGTGTGTGTGTGTATCTATGTCTGTGTGTGTACGAGTCCCTGTCTGTGTGTGTGTGTGTGTGTCCGAGTGCGTTGAGGCAGTGTGTGGGTCTCTGTGTGTGTGTGTATCTATGTCTGTGTGTGTGTATGAGTCCCTGTCTGTGTGTGTGTGTGTGTCCGAGTGAGTTGAGGCAGTGTGTGGGTCTCTGTGTGTGTATCTATGTCTGTGTGTGTATGAGTCCCTGTCTCTGTGTGTGTGTCTATGTCTGCTGCTGGTAAGGGGAAATGGTGAAGGTCTTCACTCTAGATACAGTGAACCAAGTAGCGCGCAGGCCTCCCAAACCCCCCACCGGCGGCCAAGCGGTGACAGCTCAGCTCATCTTCGTGAGCATTTGAGCTGCTGGTAAGGGCAAATGGTGAAGTTCTTCACTGTAGATATAGTGAACCAAGTAGCGCGCAGCCAAGTACTCCAGTTGTACTACAGAGTCGCCAGGTCTCATCTTCCAGCTCCCCGGCTACTCCGCGCACTACAGTTGTACTACAAAGTCGCCACTTCTCGTCTTCCAGCTCCCCAGATACTCCGCGTGCTAAGGTTGTACTACAGAGTTGTCAGTTCTCATCTTCCAGCTCCCAAGCTACTCCACGTACTACAGTTGTACTACCAAGTCGCCAGTTCTCATCTTCCAGCTCCCCAGATACTCCGCGTACTCAAGTTGTACTACCAAGTCCCCAGTTCTCATCTTCCAGCTCCCCACATACTCCGCGTACTCAAGTTGTACTAGCCCCTCGCCAGCTCTCATCTTCCAGCTCCCCAGATACGCCCTCTCGCCTGCATTTCGTGCGCTCGACCCGCACGATCTCCGCAGAGGGTTGCGCGCGCAGGGCACAAATCGCACTCTCGTCTGCATTTCGCGGGCTCGACCCGCACGATCTCCGCAGAGGGTTGCGCGCGCAGGGCACAAATCGCACTCTCGTCTGCATTTCGCGCACTCGACGCACACGATCTTCGCAGAGGGTTGCGCGCACAGGGGTCAAATCGCACTCTCGCCTGCATTTCGCGCGCTCGACCCGCACGATCTCCGCAGAGGGTTGCGCGCGCGCCGGACAAATCGCAGTCTCGCCTGCATTTCGCGCACTCGACACGCACGATCTCTGCAGAGGGTTGCGCGCGCACCGGACAAATCGCACTTTCGCCTGCATTTCGCGCACTCGACACGCGCGATCTCCGCAGAGGGTTGCGCGCGGACCGGACAAATCGCACTCTCGCCTGCATTTCGTTCCCTCGACATGCACGATCTCCGCAGAGGGTTGCATTTTCGGTTGACGCTGTTCGTCCCACCCTCCGCCTTTAAAAGAGAATTATAAAGTGGGGAAATGTTTTTCATTAGGACATCTCCCGTGAAAGATGTCAATACTCACACTTGCATGCTTGCACTGGGATTGCACTCAAATACTTACATTACACTTGCATTACACTTGCGTACTTTTGTGCTTGGATACTTACACTTGCATACTTGCCCTTGGATGCTTTCACTCTTACACTCACACTGGGATACTCACACGAACACACTTGGATACTTCTGTGCCATTGTGCGTATAGAAGTGTAAGTGTGGAAGCGTAAGTGTTCAAGTGTAAGTGTAGAAGTGTCAGTGTTCAAGTGTAAGTGTAGAAGTGTCCGTGTGTAAGTGTAGAAGCGTAAGTGTTCTAGTGTAAGCGTCGAAGTGTC